ATATATATATATATATATAAAGCTCACTAGTTTGCGTTTTCAAGCCACTCGGCCAGCGACAAGTGGACTCAGTTTATGCTGTTAGGTTTTTCTATTTCTGAGGAGACCTCCTGAAATGACGGATCAAAAGGGCTCCTTGAAAAGTCTTTTTTTCGGAAGGAAGAGCAACTAAGATCAGGAAAACTACTCGTTAAGAGGAATTTGTAACGCTCCTCGCAGACGGACCTCAAACAGCTTATCGTGTTTGTTGCCCGTTGGCCAAGCTATCCGATTAGCATGTTCACACTACAATTTGACCCATCTCATTCATCCTCAGAGTCGTGATTTATTTCGTTTATTCAAATAAATGACCTAAGTTGAGTGAAAAGCCGATTGTTTCACCTCAATACTTTAGGCAATTCCCATTCCGTTAGTGGCGCATGGGGTCACAGTTCTTCCGAGTTTGAAAGCACGACTAACAATCAAAGCTACTGTGGTATTTTTAAGCTATCATATAGATTTGAGAGATGGGATTAACTCAGCATCGCAAGTTTGTATTTTTAATATTCCGCAATATGCTGTTTATTCATCGCGTGACTAGTTGGTGCGAGTGTTGTATGCGGTGTGTTTGAGCTAGCCTAATTAGGATTGTTTTCAACCCATGGGCGAAAAAATATGGTGTCTTTGCCATCGTTATCCGATCCACACACCATCTTTCCTGGACACACTGCTTCGTTCAAGGTAATCATAGCCACCTTTTAATCAAGTCAATATCAACTAAAGTATGTTCGGATGACATGGGGAGGAACCTGGACTAGATACTCAGCGCAGTTACTCGTCATTACTTCATCCTCACAGCCAAGTGCTTGTCTGTCAAACGAGATAGATTTCAAAAATCAAAAAGAAGCGGTCCGTTCTGCACTGCCGTGAATTTTCTTTTGAACCCGCTACGTAAACCCTCAAAAACCCACAACTATCTGATTTCACCCAGATCAGCATAGGTAATAAATATTTGTCTCCACTGGCGGACTTTAACCAGAATGTACATAAAAATCGCCCCTTAATCCAATATGAGGGATACACCCCAAGAGCACTAAAGTTCAACAAAATCACCATGGTCTGAGACTTGAAGTGGCTTTTCCTGAGGGGCCCCTTTGTAGGGAGACGAATCTATATGGATTGATCTGATATCCATCATTACTCCACGGAGAAATTGCACTGGAAATCAAAGCTGTGATCGCCTGTCTACTGATAAACGTAGTTCTTACATTTACTTCGCATACTTGAACGGAAATAAGCTGTCATTCATAAATTTCGGTATTTAGTCATGAGTAGTCATCCGTCTCTTGCATCGTCGCTTCTCCCTTTCAGGCCAATGCTCCCAGTGGAACCAGAATTGGTTTTCAGCGCCAACCGAAAACGAACCGTTCGAAAACCAGCACATTGGGGTTCCGTATGGCATCCTTATTCCGATAACCCAGACGACCGAACTCAATTCGAACAGAATACTCGGCTGGGCAGATTTGTGAACGTCTCGCCGGAAGAGGAGACTTCTGCAGAGAAACCCACATGATCGACCAGATAATGGAAGCTCAGAACTACCACAATCAACTTCTGAGGAAAACATTCCTGTGCTGTAGACACTTATCGTTTCACTTTATTAGATTACAAACAAACTTGTGCAGTGACTGTATCGCGTATCCTATCCTGTCAAAGCGGGCGATCACAAGCATTTTTGTCAATGATGACACAAAATCAACTAATCATACGTGGGTGGTCTACGTCACTCAATATGTCCGGTGATCCGCCTTAACCATGTTGGGAATTGTAAATCCCCAACCTCTGGAATACCTACCGTGTATTTACCTTAATTTTTTGTACTACACTCAACCTGACTAGTCGACTTTCTGTCTTTCTCCACAAGCGTTAGCACTGCACGAGCATTCCTAATAGTCTTTGACAATTACACTGTGCACAAAGACGGGCATTCTTCAGGACACTGGTGGAATGTAGCGTCATCAGTGTTTTGTTCTTAGTGTCCTAACTGAGAACCATTTATATCGTCTTCCAAATACCGATGAAAGGAAGAAGACCTTCGCTGTGGAGCTATTTATTAGGAAATGCCAACTGAACAGTTACAGATTATTGGGCAGGGGAGCAAAACTCTCATATGCATCTTGTTTACAAGATCCATCTTCTCCTTGAACGTATCTTCCTGAACGTTTCTGGATATTCACTGACTGTTGCTCGAATCCAAGCAAATGCGACTCCACAAGTTCCGTACTAGATCTCACTTTTCAAGAGACGCAAAGCGGGTTTTACGAGAAACATACTACTCGCATGCCCCCAATTAGTAGTATCACCGTTGCACCGATAGCGAGGTAACTGGGTCAACCACCTTAAATTGACATCATCCGCTTTGAGAAGGGGTCAGTAACTGAGAGAACCTGTACAACGAATTCGATCTAGTGGCAGACCCATTACCTAATGAACTGACAATTCGAAACGAGCGATGGACATCTTACTGTAAATCGCAAGGTAACAATGAATATGTAGTCAAAATGTTTTTTTTCGAGGACTATGTTAAACGTTTGTCCTTTTTCGAAAATGAGGCAAATTTTTCTGAGCAACCAACCTTCAGAGAAGACTTCGACTTCAGCCACTTCTTCCTGATGTTCGTGCTGCATTGCGTCGCGGAATATAGTAGGTTTCGCTTTACATGGTTATCATCCGTGTTGCTAAAAATCTTCAACAACATATTTGGTTGATTCGGTTGCCACACAATAAGGTGTCCAAGTGTCATTAGTTCGAGATTGCTGCTTCGAAACCTGCTGTGTAAACGTTGAAGAAGCCCATGAGAACGATTTTCCATGAGTCTTTCGGTATGCTTCAGTACATCCAAGCCAACATAGTTGTAGGGTTTTTTGTTCAGATATCGTTCTGTAGGTGTAGCCAATATATACTGAAAGCTGAGAAACACTGCATAGCTGTTTCACCCTTATTGGGAATCATCGACATTGTGCGTCTCACGAAACTCCGGAGAGTCTCGACACGTGTGAATGCGTGATGTGGATCCCATGATTGAAGGATGGCTGGCGCTATATCCTGTCTAAGTGCGAGTTAATCACACAACTGATCAGCCAGTCGTGGCCGAACGGTTAGGTGTTCACACTACTAGCCGAGAGGTCATGGGTTCGAGACTCTCCGGAGTTTCGTGAGATTCGCACTGCTGGTGATTCTGAATAAGCACAAAACAGCTGTAGTGTTTCTTGACTTCTGAGGACAATTTGACATGTACAGGACGAAATTTCCACACTACCAACAATAGTTGTTAGGCTACGCCGTAGGCGGAACATACAGAATCCCGAAAGGTAATTTGGGCTTAATAGGGTGTACCCAGTGACAGTTGTCACACAACGAAACTGAGGCTTGGTGGTTTGCATTTGATTTGCTTTTGATAATCTCATCGCTAGAAGGCGCACCTATGGTCGAAATACTTGCATCCACCGATTTTGCCTGCATCATGTGCATAAACACCAGATTCTATCTGGTAGCTTTTGCTGTAACAGTGAACCTACCCAGACAGCTTCCTCTCCAAATCATCGGTGAACGAAACTGCGGCAGCTACAACCACTGTGCGACGAGTACGCGGTTATTACAGCTGACAGTGATGATGATGATGACCCAGACAGCTGGGATAAGCGGGGTGTGGCCTGAGGACGACAGTACAGTCACTTAGTGGCTATGAGAAAACGGTGTCATTTGGATTAGTTGTCTGCGAGGGCGTACATTCGCCGGTATAACGGAGATCCACTGTAGCAACTCCATGCTGCCAGCGAACAGAAGAAAAACACTGAATAACGATGTGCCTACGTATAGTTGTTAGAGGTGCATCTTTTCTATACATAAGCGGAGTTGATGGTTCTCAAGGTGTCATATAAAAACAACAGCAAGGAGTAGGCATAGCGGAGAATGCATTGCGACTACAAATTTGTTGATAATCTCAAAACATGGCTGCTACAATTAACACAACATCAAGCAAGCTACTGTCAAAAGGTAATCTACTTTTCTGTTTCCTTTGCAAATGGATCTCCAGATAGCTCAGTGGCTGATATGCCAGCTTACGGACCGGAAGGTCCGTGATTCGAACCCATCCTCATCATCTTGACTGTTGCTGTCTAGGCTTGGGCAACCTGGCCGTATCCCGGCCCTTGTCCTCACACTGTACCAAATTAAGTGATATGTGCTGCGTATCAGGAACAGGAATCCAAACACAATGGTCAAGCTAGCTGCGCCATCGATCTCCACTCTGTTCCAGCTGCGCAACTCTGACAATGCAGAGACCGCTGCGCAGGGTGGGCATCGTCCCAGGTCATCGGGCGAAAGGATCCCCGCTTGACTAGATACACGTCGTCAGTTAGCCCTGTACAGTTCGTCTGGCGACTTCCGTGCGGGAAGTTGGTTATAGTATGTTAGTCGTGTCTGCCTACGCCCCAACTGGCCGCAGCTTATACGCCGTGAAAGACAACCTTTATGACGCCTTGTTACGGCTGACCACGACACTTTCCGCTGTTTACAAATGAAGTCCCTCTGTCTGGTTACACTCATGCATTATCAGAAAATGCCATCCTCCGCAGATCCATTTATTACCAACTTCCAACGATCCGCCTTATCTGGGGCTGGATGACGACGCAAACGAACCATAAGTAAATCTAATGCCTAACTAGCTACTATTCACAATTGGGGGCTTATTAAATGCGGTCAAGTTCAACTAGTTCCGGTCCTTACATGTGCCCTGCCGCTCCAACCTTGCTCTAGCGGTTTCGAATCCTCCGACTTGTTGTCCTCTCGGTCTGTCACCTTCCAGCAACACGTCCCATATCAAACAGCTTTCGACTAAGATTTCCGTCCCCCTCCTAGTGGCTCCAAAATTACGAGTCTCAAATTGGCCCCGCGACGCAATATTGTCATGCCCGAGTGAGTCTCTTACTCCTTCCCCAGCTTCTCACGAGCTTCACTTCATCAGGATTCAGGCTAGTGTTTACCTGTCCAATTCCACGTTTTTAATACGCATGGTCCCCCGTTTTTCGTGTCATCGTAGCGTCCCAATACCATTATTATTATCTTTACAAGAGTTTCCTACAGTTGGTCTTCTCTCTGGAGTTAATGACTCAGAACCTCAATGTACTTGGTTGTGGGCGGGCTCAAGTAACTCATGGATTAGGAGATAAAACCCTGACTCCCAGCAATGCTGTACAAAAGATATTTGGAGTTGTGTCAGACTCCTCTCTTCCACTGTCTAGATGTACCAGCACGTTCTGTGTTTGGATTACCAGATAGGATTTCCCTTTTTTCTGGCACTTGACGTGATTTGTGAGGAGATTAAGTGTTCTGATACTTTGGACTGACGGCGCGGAGAAAAGGAATGGGAATCTGACTAAGTGCTTATCTGGGTTCTATTCGAACACCATTGACTAGTGCTCGCAGGCGCTCGGAAAAGGTCAGAATCGCCTGTGGAGAAATATTTCGATGCGCTGACAACCCTGCCGCGGCGAACGGTACGGGGGCTTATTACTTCTATTACTTATTACTGCTTATTATTACCCACTTAGGTATTGCTTACTCATTATTACTGTCATGGCTGCGGAACTGGTTCCAGTCAGGGTAGTCCGCAGGATCACTTCAGCACTGAACACAAGCTAACATGACGAGGTGGCGGCCCTAGGTCAGGATGCATTTCATCGTTCACTTGAATGAAATTCATGTATACAGATGTGTACACAACTAGCCGACAACAAAAGTGTACACTACGGAAAAGGGGAAAGCGATGGGGGATGAGGTTTATCCAACCACGTAGAGGCACCTGTGATTCAGTTGCGAGCCGGTTTGAACAAAATATCAACCGAGTGTCAACTTAATTGCTAATCAAGTCACAAGTAAGTTCTGTGAAGCGGATTAGTTTCAGTTACTTCAATACCCTGGGGCGATGTACGATGTAGCAAGTTTAGTACCACTGAATGACTGCTGATGGCTATTAAACCGCGTAAAATATGGGATTGAACTGTGTGATACTGCTGTTGCCCAATGGAGGGTTGAAATTCGATTTGAGCTGACAATAGCCCTCACACCCAGGACACCGCTGCGACAAAAAAGACAGACTGATATCATCGGGGGCAGTACAACGTATATACAAGGATGAAGGCCAACGATACAACTACTACATGACAAAAGTTCTGCGGTTACGACCAACTTCGCTACGTTTTCTGACCCACTCGTAGTCACCGAACTGACTGTCAAATGTGCCTTGCTGGATGGAGCGCAACTTTAAAGTGAAGCGCGGGCCAACTTCGTTCATGGCCACGTAGGACTTGCCTGGTTCTTTGTTTTTCTCGTTTGCATGGGAAGTTCGCTGCTGGTAACGGAAATGTCGAAAGAAAATGAAGTCACGTTGATTATGGAAGACAATCGTACGACTGTGACCTTCCGGTGTGGAACGACTACGATCTGGGAATAGAGCAGCTATCAGACGTTCTGTACGGCGACCAAGACGTGTAGTGAACCGACTCGTTATAAGATGGGGCACAACGTCCGGTTCGATGTCCTTTGGTCGGCGTCTTCCACGCATCTCTCGACGTAGGCGAACATTCGACAATCGGAATGTTACAGTCGGACCTTCGGGTAGGTGAGAGACGACGAGGGTGTTCACCTTCTTCTGGTCTTCATTCACAACTAACAGAGCTGTGAAGCCATGCTCGATTGCCTTGGGGATGATTTTTTTCAAGGGCAAGTGCCATCTAGGTGCTATGCGCATGTTTGGAATTATCTGCAAAAAGAAAGACAGTTAGTTATTTTGAAAACCCACAGTTTTCCCCAAAGTTTTGACTTCTGAGGACAAGGTGGTTGGCAAATAATTCAAATTCGTTGTTTCAGTGTAGACCTTCAGTGATTCGCCTGCATCCAGAAAATACACGGAGGTTAGAAAGAATATTGGAAGCCGTATTTGTAAACACACCACCAGGTCATAGTACGGCGCCACCTTAGCGCCGAAAACTTATCACTGTTAATGAATGGATACTTAATAAAGCCTGTGGACAGTTTGACGTCTGGCTACCGCACAAGCAACGTCCAGTGAGACCAAGAACACGTCAATTTCATACCCACAAACAAAGTGCTCCATTCGAACAGAGGCCAATAACGTGGAGTGCTCCGCACCCGAGAGAGGAGCCCTCCGGTCGGTCGTACGAATACATATTAATGCATGCGCCTTAAAGTGATGACACATTCGAACCCTGAAGCTAGCGACTCTTTTTGGAAAAGAGATCTCTTTATGCTTCCCGCTAATCGGTGGGACTCGGCAGTCCGTAAGCAGACTGCTCTCTTACGAAATTGCTTTATCATTCAAAATATATCGTCATCTTAGCAAAGGATGCGAAGTCACCCTTAAAAGGGCAATCAGTTCACAAAAAATGTCCGAAAAAAGCACCATAGAGTCGCGAGTGAGTCAAAATTAGTAACTGCTTCAAAGTCGAAATCAAATAAATGCTTGCGTAGCTGTTCCACTCGCATCCACCAGGAAGAGATTGATCTGGTACGTAGAAAACAACTAACTTTCACTTGCATGGTAGTACATACTGGGTCCAAACAAACCAGATACCTATATGCATATAAGCGTATTCGACTTATCAAAATCAAGTGAGGCGCTATGAGATACAAGGCTTACGCGGCCACTCACTGAATTGATCATTCCTGATTCGCCTGTGTGATCCAATCTGATTTTGCACCCTTATCGGAGGCAAACAGCTCTTTCTGTCCTTAAAACTGTTCTACTTATGATTTCGGTAATTACTAGTCCCGCCTCACATAGCCGTTAAATATGAATTCCACTATGACCGTCAGTGTCAATAAGATATGCAGTCATAAACACCCCAGGTCGAATAGAGTCCAAGGTTCACTGTCCACAGATCTAATGCAGTTCGAAACAATAGCAAGTGACCACGAGAATGGTTGTCCAAAGAACTCAAAATAGCGAGCGAGGCTTCTTTATTCACTAATGATCGGACCGGTTTTCGCGCATCCATCACACGCGCTAAATGAAACCACTCTCGGACATCCCCAATGAACAATATTTGTTGGCGAACGATCCTAACGGAATAAAGGAACTAGCTTTTTTCACTTCATTTATGCAGTTATTAAGTGATTCATGTAGTCCCAAGGCCACCTCGAGAACAACGTGACTTCAATATGTATATCAAGTAACTATCCCCTGTCGAAATTTCCATGGTTAAGTTTTTTTCTTGCTGTCCCAAAGATATCCAAAAGTGCTGTTCAGGAATTCGAGTGTGACACCTCAGTAGTCACAAAGGAGGAGGGTGATCTCTCCCTACCTGAAAATAACACCAGCTATAAATAGTTCCTTGCGGTCAGCGCCTAGTATTTCACCAATAAGACACGCGCCGAGAAGAGTACTTCCAAGAAAGACTTAGGACGGAGACAGGCATTACGGGTACAACTTACTTTCGTAAGTTCTTTACAAAACCCAATTGTGCGTGGGCAGACGCGATCAGAGAAAGTGAGCAGCAACTTTGGGGTACGCTCGTTCCGAAAGATATCTGCAACCTCATCCTGCAAAGAATGGTAAGGAAAATTGGCGGTGTTGAAACTTACAACTTGCTCTTCTGCAATCAGGTCTGGATCTGTTTCCACTATTGTTGTTTCATCATAGGTACGCAGTGTTTCAAGGGTCTGGGGGATTCCCACTGGCGCCCCACTCTCTTTACGCAGTTTACGTTGTTTGCGGTGCTCCTTTGCCTTTTTGACTTTTTCCTTAAGCTTTAAGTCCCTCTGGTGGTGAACGGTTGTCTCTTTCCTCAAAGGCATGGTGATGAGTCAACCCAGCAGTTATTCACAAATGCTGAAATCGAAAGCAAAATAGCTCAATGGGACGCCCAGCTGATTGTTACAGACGGCAAGGGTAACGACGAATCTAAGACCAACCCAGCCGTTCCTATCGTGGTGATAAGGTTAGTCCAGACAAGAGGATGTGATACTTGAGGTAGCGGGCTGTGGAACTGAATCGAAAATTTCATTCATATAGCCTAGTTTGACGCTAAACCGACACCAATCATCCCTAAGACAGCAGTGAGGATGTCGTTTCATGAGCACTTGCACTATTACAAAGGACTTCAAGAATAAAGCAGCAATCACCTGATGATAACCATGCAGCTCGAGATGAATTAATTGCTAATGCGCTTACTTTCTGACCGGAAGGTCCGTGGTTTGAACCGAACCCAGGCATCTCGGCTACTCCTGTTAGGGCTTGGGCAACCTGTCGGTATCTCAACCCTCCTGCTCCGTTCGAGTGGCACATCGGTTAGATACCGAAACGGTGCTATGACTATTATCATTGGTCACGTATAATTACAGCCCATTCGACAGGTCACTGAATAGCACAATCAACACTTTCGATCGGATGACCTACTTGTTATGAGCTGCACGTTCAGTTAATACGACGCCTGATCTTACGGGTATCCACTCAAACTAGACCGTTGGTGTGTAATATTTTATTAGTCCTGCCTTCATTGCCACCTGCTTTCTGCGCGATTTCCCAAAGGTTTGTGCCTTTAGGCATTCGTCTTGAAGAACATCACTTCGCAGCGCAGCGAAAGCGATAATTTCTGTTTTGTGCACACCTCTCCCTGAATTAAACAACTTAACTAGTCACCGACCCAACTATTTACCGAGTCACCAGTAAACGAGTGCTGGTTAAGAAAGATATGGTTGAATCCCGAATAGCCCCGTCATACGAAGTCTCTTTCGAAATTCATTCGACGGGTGCGGAATACTCAACTAAGTGCCACTGACTATGACTACGAATTTGCTGACTTCCGGCCAACAGCTGTAGAAATACGGTAGACAACTGCACGCAAGTGCAGGCAAGTGCAAGTAAGCGAACAATCTCCCGACCTAAACTTAGGCCCTAATAAGACCGAAATTTCTCGTTCTGGATGTTTGAGGATCCCATATTTAGTATTGACGCCTTGTTAAGCTTTGGGTTCAAGGATGATAATTTCAGAATCCGCGTGAACACCAATTGCTAGTAAAGGTCATGTGCTAGCGAATAGGTAAGTCTATACACAGCATAATTTAAATCTTTCTAAACTAAACAAACAAATACATGAAAGTGATGGGCAACTGCTCGGTCCTGAGGTCAACAGTGCAACTGCTACCCAAATGATTGCACGAATAACTACCGGTGACAATCAGACGAGCCCTCCGTCACGCAGAGGCTGGACCGTCAAGAAGAGACAGGACCTTACCGTGGTGTGACCGTCAAGGACAGGACCTTACCGTGGTGTGACGGTTTGCGCACCTCAGCGATCCATTGAGCTATACTGGAGAGTGTCCCGCGACACTCACTCACTCTCTCATACCAGGTTGGTCAATGGTTAGAGGTCTGACGAACACAGTCTCCTGGACCTCCAGGTTGGGGGTTGGAACATGTGGCGACTTGTTCCGTAGAAATGGTAATGCATTTGCATGTCCCGCCAAACACCGCTGCCTTGCGGTTAGGCTTTTGAGTCAAAGGCTTTGGTTGAGGACCCTAATCGTCCTCCTGTCTAGGTGTGGGCGCCCTGGCAGTATCCTAGCACACGTACAACCATGAATTGCACATACACAACTAAACTCATGCCACATCGGCCGTCGCGTGGTGCCATCAGCCGGGTCGCCTTACTTGCTGCATACAGCAGGGCGGGTAAGCGAAAACAGGCTACTGCTGACGCCTCCCTTCTTTCTCCTTCACATGCTTTTTCTTCCCCCTCTCCCCACCCCATTAATAACTCTCTCCTTGTAGGCCCAGCACTTAGGACTGATGACTCCGTTCGTCATGCATCGGTTTTG